ATGAACAAAAACAGATCTAGAGACAGAGAAGCATCGATCAAATGCTCAAACCTCAGAGGGAAGGTAGGGGAGGGTGGGGGAAAGGGGGAGAGATCAACCAAAGGACTTGTATGCATGCATATAAGCATAAGCAATAGACACAGACAACAGGGGTGAGGGTGAGGGCAGGATTGGGGGGGTGAGAAGACAACGGGGGGATAAGAACACATTTGTAATACCTTAATCAATAAAGGGGGGGAAAAGAAAAACAAAGAAGAAATTGTATATGTTATTGTTTTTTTCTAAATACATATATGCCTTGAGAAGAGGTGAAATATCCTCATTTTACAAATGAGTAGAGAAAACAGAATGAATTACCAATCATCTCTGAGGGAACCATCTGATATTAAATCCACAAAAACACTAGGACACTTTGCTTTTCAGAACCTCAAGGAGGAAAAGAAGAATTAAAACTCCTGGAGGAAAAGGAAGCTATCTAAATATTAACTCATCCAGTGTGATCATATAGAAGTAGGAAGAGCCCTGGCCAGTTTTCTCAGTAGTGAGAGTGTTGGTCCTTGGACCAAAGGGTCTCAGTTCATTCAATTCCCGGTCAAGGCACCTACTCTCAAGTTCTGCACAGACACCACATACATTCATCCAACCCCACAGCAATACAGTTCATACAAACACAGACACAAAGTCTAATAACCCAGTGCATTCTCAGTTACCTGGACCTTCAGGTAAGTGAAGGCTAACCCTTTACAAACACAGCACCTTCAAGGGCCTGTAAGCCAGCACAGCTCAGTGTTTTCTGCTATCCTGTAAGCCCACTCTCCCGCCCTGTGTGCCTCCCAGCTGCCTGCAAGTCCCACCATCTCTTATTTTCCAATAGTTTCTTTCCCAGGCTTCTCACTTTCACACGAAAAGACAGGCCTTTCATAAGCATCACAGGCTGATCAGATGGCATTCACAGCATGCTCTGTAAAATCTCTGGGCATTCAGGTCTGCTCAACTGTTTTCATCACTTCCTACTTAAAGTTTTCTCTTAAGGGTTAGAAATGTTTTGGGACTTTATTCTGGAAGCCTGAGGAGAAAAGTAGGCTGATTTCTAGATAATCTAGCCTATAGCAGCATTTCAAGTTCATTTAAATCCACTGTTACAGACATATCAGTTATATTTTGTATCTTAAAATAGCATCACCATAACCTAGATCCTTTCTGTCAAATCAATTTTGTGTTCATTTCATTTATTTTAACACAAAGAATAATCCAAAAGTGGATACATATACCTGCATTAATAAAATGACCCAAATTTAGTTGACAATTTATGATTTTATACGTTCAAAATTTAAATCACTAAATAGTACTTACTGTTGCATGATAGTTTCTATACATGGGCATTTTTAGTAGCTTTGTCAAGTAATCTTCCAGTTGTTTCTGTAGATAAGAAATAACATCATCACACTTACAGAAAAATTTAAACAGTGACAATAATGTGATCATTGGTCCATCTCACCTTCTGTAAGTTATTCAATGATTTATTAATGTTACCACTAGACAAGGAATCCTGAATAGTATTAAGAAGTTATTTGCATAGTTCCCTTGAAGCGTTATTTAAATCTCTTCTTCTTAAATTTTTACATACTTAGGTCTAAGCTGCTGACAAGGCCCCAGCAGTATATTATTTTAATTTTCCATAATTACTAGCACAGGACTTGCCCATAATAGGTGGTTTTAAAGCATTTGCTGATCTTATAAAAAACTTGAATTTCCTCAATGCTAACACTGAATTTACTGGAATATGTACTGCAATTTTTAAATAGATTTTCAGGGGGAAACCAAGGAGGGAGTTAAATAAAAAGAGACTTTCTTGTAAGTTGTACTCTGACTGCAAATATGTTCAGGTGAGAGGAGATGAGAGGGTTGTCAATTGTACTGACTACGATGCATGCTGAAGTACCAACTGTTAAAGCCATAGTTTATCGTTTTCAACTGCACTTGCGTATGTACCCATGGTAACCCAAAACCATAGAATTTTATTTGTCTAGGCATCTTCAAAGATATGTATTCCAAGTCCCTAAAAAGATTTTAAACAATATGACAACTACAAAGGGTAAACCAAACATCCCTTTCAGACTATAAGAGTTTCAGATGGCAAAACAGAACTAACATTTGTTTGTGAATTTTCTAGTAAAAAATTAATTTATCCTATGCAGGACCACATCACTGAAGCAGAGCAGGCCTAAGGTTTCTGTCCTACTGATGTACATGTGCAACTCTATCCTCCTCTCCTCATATATATATTCCCTACATATATTTAGGTCAAACTACTCAAATTCTGAAGCCAATGCATGCAAATGTATGATTTAAAAAGAGAAGATCTCAAAGCTCTCAATAATGAGCTCAATCTTGACTGACAATGAGCCCATAGAGGTCCCTGCAGGGAAGACAGCTTCTTCACAACATCACTCCTACAAAAGGAGACACTTTTTCTGGAAAAACGCGACCTCCCAGGGTCAGAACAGCTTGGGGGACAGAGGGTTGCCTAACTCATCCCAGGGGGAATCACCAGCCTGGGTGATGGGTCAGGGGCTGCGAAAAATTGCAGCCAGAGCCTCCTCACCCCTCAGTAGATCCATGTTGCTACAACGCTGCAAAATTAAGTGCTGAACAAAAGAACTTGAAGGACTTACCCTCCTGCCAAGGAACTGTTCTTCTTTCATCGTGTTTTCAGAGGAACGGGGCAAGCTTGGCATCTCTCGAGGCTCTTCTTTGACATTCTGTCTTCTAAATGTGTGTCTGAAACACACACACACACACAGTGCACACATTTATTAGATTATTCTTTGAGCCACGGCTCTCTAATATCTTTCATGAGATGGCTTATTGTTAGAAGATAGTAGGTTCCATTTAATAGAACATATCTGCCAACAATGGACAGTTAATTCATAATATGAATAAAACACTCTTTCCACTCAACTTGGACATTTGGGTAACCTTATAATTAATTCTGAAACAATTACCTTCTGGTGGGAATGGGGATTCGGATAAAGGCTTTGTACTTGAGCAGTTCTCTGTGAAATTCTTCAAAATGCTTGAATTTCCTTTTAACTTGCCATTTAAATTCCCCATGTGTTAATTCAATAGTGTAAAGATTGATACTCCGTGCCTACAGAGATAAATAAAAAGGATTGGTATTTTAGATAACAACAAAAATTCCAAAATCTTTCAATGAACAATAGCTAATTAATAAGTAACATGGAAGTACCCTTAAATCCAACCTACTTATTTTGTGTAAGTACTTAAGTAAAATGTTTTAAAAAAACAACTAATTACAGAATAATATTCTCTTAAATGTTCGTCTTATAATATTCATAAGATAAACTCAGAATCTCACTAAAGACAAACTCCCACAAATCCTATTGCTCCAAACTCACAAATACAGACACAGAGAGACACACACAGAGAGACACGCACACACACCTGAAACAAGAAACCAAGTCAAGGAGACAGTGAGTGAAGGCCCTACTTAGCCATCAGGGATTGTCTAAAAGTATGAGCAGTGAGCAGACAGTTGGAGGGGTGACAGGGAAGCTGGAGGAATGCATTCCAGGAGCACTACCTTAGCCCACCTTTTGCCTTTCACAAATGGCATTATACCTTCTTCTGAAATACATTCCAAGGTCCCTCCTTGTCTACATCTCCCTGCCCTGAAGCCCCACCGGTAACCAGGAAGGCATAGGTGCATTAGAGGAAAAGAAGCACAAGATCTTCCTACACTCAAAATATTTTCCCCAGCAACTTAACCAAAATAAATCTTCATTTAAAAATTCAAAATTATGTCTTATGAAATAAAAATATATCTTGGTGACTAGTGAATTATTTCAATCAGAAGCTAATAGCCCTGGGGGGTAGGGATTTTGATATAGTAGAAGGTGTCATGAGATGGAGGGATATTTACAAATAAAGCACAGAAGATCTTGAAGATCCATAGTGTTTGGGGTCGGGGGGAAGGTGGAGAAGATGAGGTGGGGGGAGGGGAATAGGTACTCTGGGTCACCTAGAGGTCACTGGGCCCTGCCAGGAGACTTGGGCATCATAAATGTTGGGATGGGAGAGAGTAAATGTCTCCTACTCTGCTAGTTTATCCAGGCTCTGGTGTCAGCAATCCCATGAGTGATTCCTGGCCTGTGGCCATTCGTTACTGGTATTTGGCATATATTTTCAAATTTCTAAAGCACGACCACTCTGTATTGATGTAGTATATAAAACATGAGCATGAGAGTCTATTTAACTTGTGCTTTTTTTTAAATTAATTTTTATTTATTTTTTTTTGCTAAAAGTATTACAAACACAGAGAGACACGCACACACACCTGAAACAAGAAACCAAGTCAAGGAGACAGTGAGTGAAGGCCCTACTTAGCCATCAGGGATTGTCTAAAAGTATGAGCAGTGAGCAGACAGTTGGAGGGGTGACAGGGAAGCTGGAGGAATGCATTCCAGGAGCACTACCTTAGCCCACCTTTTGCCTTTCACAAATGGCATTATACCTTCTTCTGAAATACATTCCAAGGTCCCTCCTTGTCTACATCTCCCTGCCCTGAAGCCCCACCGGTAACCAGGAAGGCATAGGTGCATTAGAGGAAAAGAAGCACAAGATCTTCCTACACTCAAAATATTTTCCCCAGCAACTTAACCAAAATAAATCTTCATTTAAAAATTCAAAATTATGTCTTATGAAATAAAAATATATCTTGGTGACTAGTGAATTATTTCAATCAGAAGCTAATAGCCCTGGGGGGTAGGGATTTTGATATAGTAGAAGGTGTCATGAGATGGAGGGATATTTACAAATAAAGCACAGAAGATCTTGAAGATCCATAGTGTTTGGGGTCGGGGGGAAGGTGGAGAAGATGAGGTGGGGGGAGGGGAATAGGTACTCTGGGTCACCTAGAGGTCACTGGGCCCTGCCAGGAGACTTGGGCATCATAAATGTTGGGATGGGAGAGAGTAAATGTCTCCTACTCTGCTAGTTTATCCAGGCTCTGGTGTCAGCAATCCCATGAGTGATTCCTGGCCTGTGGCCATTCGTTACTGGTATTTGGCATATATTTTCAAATTTCTAAAGCACGACCACTCTGTATTGATGTAGTATATAAAACATGAGCATGAGAGTCTATTTAACTTGTGCTCTTAAATCTGAAATCCAGCCATATCACTGATAAATATTCAAATGTAGCACTTGCTTTGCATCTAGTTAGGATCCATGATGGTTACTACAACTACAAGTTAAAGGAACCAAGTTCTAGGTCTGATATTATATGCTGCCTTTCACCTTGCATCATCCTGCATTGTGCTTCACAAAAAAAAAGGGTGCAGGAAAACTCAGAATGGCCAGAAACTTTGCATTCAAGTGAAAAATGCTCAATTTAAGTCAAATAAATAAGAAAAATTATGCAATTTAAGCAAGCTGCCACATTTCTTAGGATTCTACTTCCCAGTCTGAGAAAACTGAATACTTAACCAAACATTGCAAATGCCAAGTTTTATCCATCACCCATAAATCCTATGCGTCTTGTACACTAAATTTCTTAGCAATTGTGAGGCGGTACGGTGCAATGGAAACAGCCTGCCACATCCTTTTTGAAAATTTTAAAGGACTGAAGTCCTTTGGTGCAGCCTACCAGCTGTGAAGCCTCAACCATGTGTGGGACAACATCCCAGCAGAATTACTGGAATTCTTTGGAATTGGAATAATTTGAGGAGTCTTAATAAAGGAACTGCCTGCCAGTGAAGATGTTACAGGGATAAGAAACCATAAAGACAGGACAGTCACCTGGGACTTGTGAAGGCATCCCTGGTCCTGAAGGTACAAGTGGCAGGACAACTGGCAGGACCAGGAGCTAGAACGGAAGGAGAGAGCCGTGGAAAGAGGGATGCTTTGGCGGGGAGATGGGGGCCTTTGGTCAAGGGACACAGCCATCCTGGGTGACCTCAATCTCCTATCTGGGCTCTCCAAGAGGACACAGCAGAAAGAAGGGTGGGGCAGGTGGGTGGAGGAGCTAGAGGGGCAGATGGAAGATCGCCAGCCTGGGAGGGCAGGTGATAACATCTGTTTCATCGGGTTGTCACAAGAGTGAAAAGAGAAGTGCTTAGCCATGAGCTGGCACAGAGGATGTATTGAATCATCAGAAAAGGGATCATTTTATTTACCTGGAATCACATTCAATCTGCAAGAATGTAGTTCATATTTCTTAGTCAATGAAACACTAAGTAGTATATGGATAATCCTTAGCTTTCTCATACAGACTAAGGTAAAGAGGTGGAGGAATTAAGAAGTACAAATTGGATGTTATAGGGTAGTCATGGGGACGTAAAGTACAGCAAAGGGAATACAGGCAATATCCTAATAACTATGTATGGCCTCAGATGGGTACAAGACTTATTGTGGTTGATCACTTAGTAAGATATCTAGTGTAATCACTGAGATGTACACCAGAACTAATATAATATTGTATGTCAACTGTAATTGAAAAATAAAAGAAATAAAACAAAACAGAACTCAGCCAAACTCACTTGACTAACAGAAGAGTATATGCAAAGAGAGAAGTCTGTGGTTTGGTGGCTTCAATATTCGTATAGTACAATATATAATATACTTGTATAATATTATGTGTATTATTATTAAATTTTCATAACAAGCCTAGAAGATAGGCACTATTATACCCATTATTCCAGTGGTTCTCAACCTGTGGGTCACGACCCCTTTGGCGGTCGAACGACCCTTTCACAGGGGTCGCCTAAGACCATCCTGCATATCAGATATTTACATTACGATTCATAACAGTAGTAACATTACAGTTATGAAGTAGCAACGAAAATAATTTTATGATTGGGGGTCACAACATGAGGAACTGTATTTAAAGGGCCAGAAGGTTGAGAACCACTGCATTATTCAGATGAGGACTCTGAGAAACTGAGAGGTTAAGTAACTTATGAGAGGTCACAAAGCCAAGGAATTCAACCCTGCAGTCTGGCTCTGAGGCTGCAGTTACCCCCACATTACTGCCTCTCAGTTTAAAAGCTGGTAGGCAAATAAGAAGGCAAATGTCATCTTAGAGACACTTCTGGGTGGTGTTGCTCAGTGGTGTACCAGGGGGATATGGACCCAACTCATAGGAAGAACCTAGAGAAAGCATGTCAAACTCACAGCCAACGGGCCACATGCCTCATTTAAATGGCTGTGAGTTTGACATGCTTGGCCTAGCTGTGGTTGGCAAACTGCGGCTCACAAGCCACATGCAGCTCTTTGGCCCCTTGAGTGTGGCTCTTCCTAAGCCTTAGGAGTACCCTAATTAAGTTAATAACAATGTACCTACCTATATATTTTAAGTTTAAAAAATTTGGCTCTCAAAAGAAATTTCAATCGTTGTACTGTTGATATTTGGCTCTGTTGACTCATGAGTTTGCCGACCACTGGCCTAGAGGAAAGGCTGCACACCAAGGTGGGTGGGAACAGCGCTCAAAGGGAAAACTTGTGCATGGGGCCCGAAGGACAGGTGCCAGGAACAAGCCAGAGAGGCAGGATCTGCCAGCAGGATTCTCTCAGCCGTACTTTGGGTAATGGCACTAGCCACTGCAGTATCCTGTTTTGGGTTTTTTTGTTGTTGTTGTTGTTTTTCTCTCAAGAGCTGGGTAGCATCATTCTATTCTTACTTAACAAGCACTAGGAAAGCTGCACTTATCTGGCATTCTAGGGGGAATGGTTATGCCCCAGGAATCCACATTGAACAGAAAACTGTGGAGTAAGGAAGACTAGGAGAGGCACTTTGCAATTTATTACTAGTAAACTTCCACATTGCCTTAAATGCCTTTTTAAAAAATATATATATTTTATTGATTTTTTACAGAGAGGAAAGGATAGGGATAGAGAGTCAGAAACATTGATCAGCCGCTTCCTGTACACCCCCCACTGGGGATGTGCCCGCAACCGAGGTACATGCCCTTGACCAGAATCAAACCTGGGACCCTCCAGTCCGCAGGCCGACACTCCATCCACTGAGCCAAACCGGTCAGGGCTGCCTTTTTTTTTTTTAATGTATTTTCCAGGATAGGGAAAGAGGCATATGAGAATAAAGACTAAATGGGAAGAAAGCAAAACCTTGAGAGGTGATGAGGACTTGGAAGTGATAAACAAAACTAAACAAACAAGTGAAAAGCTAAAACACAGGCATAGCTGGGAGAAAGGAAATGGAAGTCAGGGTGTTCATTCGTACACATTGACTAATACAAGTTGAGTCCATAAAGGCGCTGACCCTTGCTGTAGACGTAAAGCGCTCCACTTCCAGAACTTGGGCTTTTATTGGACAGCCAGAGAGGTACGTCTGTACGTTAGGCTCCTTAAATCCTTGAGTCTTATAAATAGCAGAGAAAGGGATATACACTAAAAAACAAATAAATAAGTTATTGCAAGAACACAATGATATTGCAAGAATACATGATAGTAGCATAACTTGCCTTTTGCAGGCTTTTTTTTTTTAAAAAAGAATCGTAATGTGCAACGATGAGAAAACAGTTAACGAAACAGTCTTAGCCCCGTGTTATGACATCAGCGAGGAAGATCAGTCATTTGCTGGTTATTTCAAATCTGTGCTCTGCCAAGCCACCCTGATAAACTCCCTTCTCCTGGCTCAGGCCCTCCGTCTTTACCTTCCTGTGTCTTGGGATCGCTGGGAGACACATCGTAGTCCACCTCCTCTCCCTCAAAGTGGAGCTCCCGCGTGTCCAGGTTTTCTATCAAATTACTCATGTCAGCAGCGATTTTCTGCAGCGCAGATATGTTTACTATTGGCTCAGTTTTCAGCGACATGCTGGCTTCGGACAGGGTAAAAGCAAAGGGGCTGGGAAAGAAGAAAAGGACTTATGATTTTGGTCAAATAAAATCCTATTTGCAATTTAAATCCAGGTTTAGATACAGCATATAGAAACAACTCTATGTAAGCCCCAGTTATCTCAAACAACCTCTCAATTTATCTTCCTGTTTAACATGAAAGGACTCCTAGCTTATAAAGTAAACTGGAGTTGGATACCTAACTGGAAGCAAGCAAGATAAAGAAATACCACATTGAGTAAAGGTTAACATATATCTCATCCAATTTTATTAACCTGGATAAGTGAAGAGAGACTCAAGGGGAGATTGGTTTGGGAATGATTATTCAAAAAAAAGGGAACTGATTAACTCAAATACATGGCAAAAAAAAAAGAACATAAAAAATAAGCAACTTGAAATATTTTTTTTAAACTTTATTGTCAAAAATATTACAAATGTCCTCCTTTCCTCCCCATTGATCCCTTCTACCTTGCTCCCCTCCACTCCACCCCCCAGGCCTTCACCGCATATTGTCTGTGTCTAAGGGTTATTTTTCTAAAGAAAATGTAGGTCATTTTATAATAATTTCAATATGTAGATTTTAAAATAACTTTGCGATAGCATAACCTTTCTACATTTCCTCTGAAGGTGACATTCGAGGCAAGGTGTATACTAACTTTTTGAGATAGGTTTTGGCCATTACATGAGTTATACTGACGTACATGTCTTGAAAGGTAATTGATTAATATACCTTTTCCGAAAGATACAAGAGGTGCTAGAATTATACTTCTCTCCTTTTTTTAAGAAAACTGGTTCTATTTCATTCCGACATTTAATAACACAAGTCACTGCACATCAGTGCCCAGGGAAGAGGAGTTCATATCGATTTCATTTTTCATTTAAAATACTGAGATTTAAGCCTTGAGCATTGTCATCAGAGTTGGATGAAAAATCCGTCTTGCCTGAAATAACCTCTCTGTTACAACCAGGACCTGAAAGAGGAGGGCTCTCATACCTGTAACTCCTTCACACATGCTCATCTATGACTGCAAATCACAAACATTTACTGAGCACCCATCATTCACTCTCTGTGAGATGCAATGAGTGAATATGCAAAGATAATAAGGCTGGTCCCCATGACTAAGGAATGTCTGACGTGGGTGAGGGAAAGAAGCTACATAACCTCAAATTCATCCCTGGCCTCCTCCAAGGACTTGGCCTTCTTGAGAATGGCATGTGCTGAGTGGAAGACAGCTGGGTTTTGTCCTGCAGGTGCTATCAAAAAGCTGGAGGGCTCTGCAGGAAATGCTAAGAGATAGTCTCTGGAAACTTGAGCAGCATTTAATGTAACTCAACAAGTCTTTAAAACCCTATACTGCTGTGTCTGATAGAAAGAGATCTTGGCTGGGAGTAGAAGAGAGTGATTCTGGTTTGGCCGGATATATATAATTAACATAACTAAGTTATATCTGAGCTATGTGATCAATCACGTTTCTTTTTCTGTGTTGGCTGAAAGGAAGCCTGGAGCCAAATCTATGGCTTACTATTAGCAAAATATAGGACTCTCCTTGTCTACATTGCTCCCCTTCAACATTCTCTCCCACTTCGAATTTATATTGTCATAACATACTATTGCTTAGCATCACCTGGTTTAGTGATAATACTTTATATGCATTATTACATTGAGCCTCAATAATAAATCTGTGAAGGGTTATTTCTTTTGAAGATGACAAGAGTTTGTCATCCCTCCTTTAGAGATAAGGAAACCAAGGCATTAACAGATTAGGGTAACATGACAAATACTTTGGACAATCTGGTCCAGGTCACGTAGGAGAAGGGATCCGAAAGCAGTTCTCTCTGATCCAAGAGTTGATGTTCTCACCCTTGGTCTTTATCTTCCTGCACATTTTGTGTAGATATATAAGTGCCCCTGGGATAGATGGAAGTTTTAGTAAAGCACATGTTCGGGCAAGGAGCAAACTCAAATGAAAAGGAGAGGAAGAAATGGATTTCTCTTGCAGCTCAGCACCAAAAGATGAAGCCATTTAAATTCTCAGGGCCTTGGTTTCCTCCTCTATAAATTAAGGAGGTTGAGCCATTTCATCTCTAGAGAACCTCTAACATTAAAACCCTAACTATAGGAAAAAGATGCTATAAATTGTTCAGCCTTCCTTTACAATGTAATTCACATAAATAACCCTTCTCCTGTACCAAGAAATTAAACCAAGTAGTTTTCATATAAATAGTGGAAGCAGGTGGCAGAATGTTCTTTAACCTGCATAAGTTAATTGAAGTCTGTTAGGCCTCCATTAAGGAGCTGTTGTTTCTACTCACAATTAAAACATTTATTTCCTTCCCTCTCCATTCAACAAACACTTATGAGATGCTGATCATAACCCAGGTCTTGCTTTATTTAAAATGCAAGGCAATGAAAAACTTTTAGAGGAAATGAGACAAGGAAAAACAATTAAGAAATTATATCATCTCATTGCTGTTTGTGAATTCATAAAGCGTTTAGGTATTTTCTATTGATTAAATGGACTTATGATTAACTCTGCCAAGGTTCTTAGCATAGCAAAGGAAAACAAGGGTTACTCCAAATGACTTTCCCTTTGGACAGAGGGTTAATGTTAAAAATGAATGTTAAACTTAAGATGTACAGAAACCAGAATAATCTATACACGGTATGTAATTGGAATAAACACTACAGAGTCACTGGATCAAGCTAAAATAAATATCTTATTTCAGATATAGAGAAAAGAAACATAAACATGTGAAAAATTTAAAGGAGAATGAGAAAAGAAACACAGGAATCCTCTTATTTATCCTCAAGTGTTTACTTGTGCTAAGCCCAATGTTAGCGGTTATTTTATTTAATACTCACAATGATGCTACCTGGTATTTATGATTGCTCTGAAAGATTTAGTTAAGTAACTTGTCCAAGGCAGTCAACTTGTGTCAGTGTTGAGTTCATAAAGCAGACCTGTCTGACTGAAATCTCATGAACTTGGTTAGAGAGGTTCAAAATACTAATTTTATGTTATAGGCTTGAATGTCTACAGATTAATCTTTTATATGAAATTTAAATTCTATAACAACAAAATATATTCTCTACTTTCATCACCAGATCTTGGGAAAGACTCTACTATCCCCCCAGTCATTACAATTATGGAAACAACATATCCCTACAGCCTCCTAAATTTCTTCTTAGCCTTTGATTTGTATGGTTCATAAAATCTTATAAGATCATGTGGAATTTCAGTGAACCCAAAGGGTTTACAGATTTGTTCAAGTTTTTTTTTCTGAAGACTTTACCATTTAATAATGAAAAGTGAACCAAATGATTTGTCCATCACTGCCTTCACTTGTGTCCATGGTTGCTTTGTGTTGACTCCTCATTCAACAATTGCATTGCTGGTATCATTCTTAAATATCAAGCTGTAAGGCCATCTATACTTCTAGTCAAATCTTCATTAATTAGCCCTGTTTTCTGTCAGCTAAAATAATCTATAATAGTGGGTGAGCAGCTGCCACAGTTACAGCCTATCTTAACCAGAAAGAGGATAAGGGCTTCAGTGTTTACACTTGAGATAATGTAATTGATTTTGTTACCTCCTTATAAAATTATACTGCAAGATTATTATCTCTTTTGGTACCAAGTAGAGATGGTGCCCATGGAGCAATAACCGCAGCTGTGTTTTATTTCTGTTTGCATCTGTATCTGGGAAGTAAATAGGGTTGTGTGTGTTTTTCTGGTGTTGAATACTGGAATTAAAAATCTTTGCAGGGAACACTTAATTACCTCCAGTTTTGCAGTGTTGAAATCAGAGAAAGCTAGAGTTTTCCTCTGATCTTAATTTTCAAAACGATTGCGAAGTAGAACATCAAAGGGAGCAGATATTTTCCTTTCCAAATAGCCCATACATAAACATTGCCTTAGACAAAATACAATAATAAGATTATCAACCGTGACTATTAATATTAAAATAAATATTAGCATTAGCTAATATTGGCTGAGTATATACCATATGCCAGGCATTATACCAAAGAAATTAATTGCATGATCTTACTGAATCCTCACAACAATCTTAGGAGCTGGGTCCCATTGTTACCCCCATTTTTAAGATGAGAAGCCTAGAAAGGGTGGGCAACTTGCCCAGGGCTACTCAGCTGGGAAGTGATAGAGCTGGACCCACCCTGGTTTATCTGACTCCAAAGTCCAGCTATTTACCCAGCCAGAGGTGGAACTGGGGGTGGCAGCAGGGTTGACACCAGAAGACTCTGCTCCTTATTTTACATATACTTGGAATAAAACAATTCAAAGGGGGAACGGCAATAACAAAAAACTCAAGATTCATTCTGTGAAAATAACTATGATTTACTTCTTCTTTTTCTTTTTTAATCCTCACCTGACAATATGTTTCCATTGGTTTTTGATTTTTAGAGAAAGTGGAAGAGAGAGGAAAAGACAGGGAGAAACAAGGCCCGGGAGGAGCCTGCAACCAAGGTACATGCCCTTGACCAGAACTGAACCTTCGGTCCGCAGGCTGACCTCTATCCACTGAGCCAAACCGGCTAGGGCTGTGATTTAGTTCTTGCTTTCCTTTCTAAAATAACATGCAAAAGTCCCCCCTTTGGTTTTCAATATGTTATTTGTGCTTACGAAGAGAAACAAATACAATGGATTTTTAAACCAAAAATCACATCTTAAGGTATGAATGTAAAATGAATTATAATTAGGTCATTTAAAACTGAACTGAGTCATGAGGATTTCTTGTTTTCCCATTTTTCATGATGATAAAATTAATTGGTGGATCCATACTCCATCACCTCCCCAAACACATACAGCAATGATTTGTATAGAACTGACTTGTTCCCTGAAATGCGAAATTCATACATGTGGATTCAAGTACTAAACTCAATCTCTAGCGATATAGTAAGTCTTGGATAAATATTTCTTGGGTTTAGCTGACTTTGGAAAAAGTAAATGATACCATATTTCACATTCCAGATTATATATTTTGAGAAAAT